TCAGGTTTGTTTGTATATTGTGTTTCCACTATATGGAAGGCAAGACAGTGTCATCTCATGATAATGAAAGATTGTGTAATTTGTGTTGTTTTACTTTTACTACCATCTCCATTATTGAGCCATGTTTAATAATCAGTGACCACACGCAATAATGTAACAGAACAGTATTTCGCCTAAATCAATAAGGGGGGGGGGCGGAACGCTTATGAAAGTGAGGGGATACTCGTGTGTGTTTGTGGTACACGTGATGACATCATTTTGATCATCAGGATATTATTAATAATATGACAAACAGGGTAATGGCTGTTAATTTAAAAGCTTTGTTTGCATTCACTTAATGCTTCGACACTTACTTAACTCTTAACTAAACATTATACAGATTAAATACTGACAGTGGCGGATCGGGAGGGGGGCACGCGGGGTGGAGAGGGGGGGGGCACGCGGGGAGGAGAGAGGGGGGCACGCGGGGGAGGAGAGAGAGGGGGGCACGCGGAGGAGGAGAGAGGAGGGGTGTGAATAGGTCAGAGAAGAGATTAAGAGAAATCAAGAAATCATCACGGAGAGAGAGAGAGAGAGAGAAAGAGATAGAGAAAGAGAACATGAATAGATGAGAGAAGACATTAAAATGGATCAAGAATTCACCGGAATGGAGAAGGGGGGTCCATAATTGCTTATTTGTCCCTAATCTCCATTAATAGTGAAAATCCCTGAACATCCACACACCATAATTAATTTGTATAATTATGAAAGGTATTCTTGTTTTCAATCTTTGAATAATCTTTCATACCCGATATAATGACTGGTTTAAAGAATAGTAATAACGATTTAGAGAGAAAAAGTAAATGTTTGTTAATTGAAATGTTTTATTTTCATTCACTTCAAGCTTCTAAATTATTTCAACATAATTATGATTATCGTTACTGAATACATCAACATGCAAGGTGACCATGTATGAAAGTCATCCGTTTGATTAATAGTATGGATAGGGTCTTCGTTTTTACCGGGCAAACACAGATTTGCTCCAAACACCCTTGGTGTTATTATATAAACGCTATCCTGTACTGAGTCAATTATTCCGAATAATAATCATCCCAGGGGCGATTCCCCTGGTTATTTCCAAACGCCCATTTATTGTTTAATATGACTTGTTGTTTAATTTATACTGATTTGTTTGTATATCTTTTGATGTGTTTTTAAAGAGATGTGAAATAAAATTGAATTTGTATTGAATTTGAACATAATCATTTCCAGTGGCGGATCAGGATGGCATGTGACCCGTGCCCCTCCCAATCTGTAGCTACGCCGCTGACCATACACTCCTTGGATATCAATCAAGATCAGTCGTCGCTCTACGAGATATCAGTTCCCGCGAATCATCTGTACATCCTCAGTGCGTCTACTCCGCATACAGAACGCGAACATCGCTCGAAACTCCTTGAGTCGCCACCAGTAGATGATAGAGTTTGCAATCCAGTTAACGCATATCATTATATCCCCAGCATTAAAAAGACACTCGTTGTCAACGCCAAAATTAAGAAAGGCCCAGTTCACCCACGGACAGATCCAGCAAAGGACAGTAGTCCCGAAGACAAGACCGAACGTACGGAGCACTCTCTGATTCTCCTCCTTCCGTTGCCGGGTGATGTTGCCGTCGCAAGGTACCATGGCAACCGAACGGTAGATAAAGACGTAACAGAGACCGGTGATGATGGTGGTAGTCAGGGCCATACACAGACGAAATATGAAGATGTGGTCCTCGAAGATGACGACGATGGTCGAAGAAATGGAGAGCGATAACGCCCACGTCCCTATGCAGGTCGCAATCAAGCGCGGTGTCGTTATGATATTGAGGGCGCCGAAAGGGTCTACCCGGATAGTGATGAATTGGTAACCGGTCACCAAAATGACGCTTAAAAGGGATACCACGAGAGATGCTACTTCTAATATCTCAAGGAGCTTTACAATCTGAAGAAGAAAAAAATATTGAATGAAAATATGTTACTAAAATTGAAAAAGAATATCGAGAGTTTACCAAAGAATCCATAAGATAATCTTTACGAACTGAAATAAATAACGATTGAAATTCTTCGAGAATACAGAGCTAACATAGTTTTTTTTTCAAACAATCATGCATTGAGCACAAAAAGGCATCAAATTATATGAAGAAAAAAAAATCCCCTCTGGGTCACCCTCATAAAAAAAGACAAATCTGAAATAACAAAACAGATATAGGCACAAATGATAGAGCTACTTGCATTGTCATTTCGATCATGGCATATTGTTATATAGAGGGTTCGCACAGGGAATATCATGTATAATTCAATCATTTTACACTACCTCGGTGTTTATTCATTTTTAATTACAAACAATTGAATATTTATATATATGTCTATTTATATTTTATTCCCTAAACTGTAACTAAAAGCAGTGATAAATCTTTTAAAATAACGGTTAATTAGGCCTACCTCTTGAGAAGATTCATTGGTCCCTTCCATAATTGCCATAACGATCGCACCACATAAGTCAGAGAGCGCGAGGTTGTAGGGGAAGATGTGATGTTGCTTACGAAGTCGCCGTTGACCAGGGATAACGATGAGCGTCGTAGTCATGATCAAAATAGCAACTCCCAACGTTGCGTGTTTGATAACAGACAATACAAAAAAGCACAGTGGGATCGATTCGTCGCCGACATCGACCGACGTCGTGGTGTTGATATCAATATCCGTGGTCATGCTTAATGATGATGGGACACACGATCAAAGAAAAGGTGAACGTCACCACGATCGGATGATGATTTGAGGATTGATTGAAGTGATGAAAACCTGTATGGAGTTGGTCGTTACGCAAAGCGGCTGACTGGTTTAGCTAACACCACTTTTCATCATGCGCGTGCTTAACTTGGGATTTTCACCAGAAATCTCATTAAAAGAGATTTTGACACAAATGTCCATGAATAAAAAAATTCTCATTGGCACATAATCCTTTGACACAGATCTTAATATAAAATCTTAATATCTAGGATATTCACACAAATGAGGTTTATTTTTATATCGTGTTTACTGAACGGACGTGGTCGACTATGGAAAGCAAGACATTGCATAGGCATAGGGAACTTTCTGAAGTGGGGGGGGGGGGGGGAGGGGGCTGAAGCACTCACCGCGAAAATCTGAGCGAAGCGCACATCACGAGCGCGAAATCCCTTGCGGCCGGCCGGGGTACAGGGCCCGCTCAAGGGCCCTGGAAGCTCTGGGATTCTGCATGCTCTGTGGTGCATTATCAGCCCTATTTTAGTACAACTTATGACATTTTATGACATTCTTGTCAAAGAAAATTAATCATGAATTGAAAATACCAAATGGTAATTGTGGACATATAGGAGTATAGTCATGAAGGATTATGTTTTACTCGTGGACTAAGTATGATATTTCTTGGTCATATGATAAGAGATAGGAAGTCATGAACACAAAATGGTCATGCAAGCAACATAACATGTTCATAGCAGGAGTCATACAGTAATTTTAGCGCAACTAAATTTACATTCCACTTCATATACAAACAGATTCAATTGATAAGAATCCTTCAAGTTGTAACATGTACCTCTCTTTCTATAATTGGGCAAGAAAAAATGCATTATTTAATGGGGATTGTTCATAATAAATTAAGAGCTTGTTCATGCGTAGAATCTGCAATGACTTGATTATATTTAACGCATATATATATATATATATATATATATACATATATTTTACTAAAGGCGTCATTAGAGGGACATTGGGGTGAAAAAATGAGTCATTAAGTAGACGTTAGGGTTAGGGTTAGGTTTAGGGTTATGTTTTAGGGTTATGTTTTAGGGTTAGGGTTAGGGTTAGGATTTTTATGATTTCCACTTAATGTACCATGTAGGATTATATATATAGAGAGAGAGAGAGAGAGAGAGAGAGAGAGAGAGAGGAGGGGGAGGCAAGCAGACAGACAGAGGCAATTGAGATACCTTTAGAACAGGAATATCACATAGGCCTACAGCTAGCCAATCTCCTGGATCTAAATTTTATTAATCCTAAATTATGAGATGAAAAGGCACAATCGTATTTGCTATTGTGCTGAAGGTTTCCTAGATAGAACGAAATGCACGAAAATGAAATTAGTGGACACAATAATAAAGGTCATTCGACTGTGATTTAAAGGATATTTTATTATGCATTTTGAAATTTATATCAATGATCATTGTCTAAGAGTATATGGACAATGTGTTATACACATGTAGGTAACGCACATTATGACATACTCCGACCGAGCAAGAATCGAACTCAGAATTTATTTATTTATATATTTATTTCTGATATTTATACAGGGTGGCACATGTCACCAAGTTGGTGGTCTTCCATGAGGCCCTGCCTGATAATAGATAAATAAATAAATACTCAAGCATATAAACAGGTAAAATACAAATTGATTTGTATCCCCATGAAATAACTGATCATTCAAGAATCATCCTTGATCATTTACAAGAAATAGGTGAATGGCATTTTCAAATTAGATTTTTTTTTTTAAACGGTCAATTTAATAATCTCATATACCTTAACGAACGGGATACCAAAAATTGTTATATACATATTTACATGCAATTGCCCTTTAACTAACACACTTAGGTTGTTTAAAAGATAGCTGAAATGGATACATTACATGTATGAATAAATGATGTAACGATATCCATGTCAACCAAATTTCATAATTTTGCAAATAGGAAAAAAATGGTTAGCTTCGCACGAACCCCCCCCCCCCCAAAGTTCATTTACACGTCATCTACCGATAACAGGGCTTTTAGAGCGTGTTTAAAACTGTTCAAAGTAGGAATCTCTCATATGAGACCTAAAAGCCTTTACCAATATCCCACTGATCAATCAGCAAACCTTTATATCAACCTCAATAAAAAAAAAAATAAAAAAAAATGCATTACATGCACTGGTCGAATGGAGATGTTAGTTGGTCTAGCGGTACGTTCACTTGGTCAGTCTTCTGCCTTCGTCTATACAAACTGGCTCACGGGCGGACCCGGTTCGAAACTGGATCACATCTTTCGGATCAGTGGTGACGTTAAAGGTCGTTCCCCAGACGTAGATATTCATATCTGATTGAAACACGTCAGTAAAACCCAATTACACACTTCTTATTTTTTGTTAGTGTCCTTACAGTCAGATTACTAACTTTTCATAATCTTCCATGCTGTCTATTGCGATTCATATCTCGATTTGTATGATGTACAAATGCACACATCATTTGGCGCAATCCTATTTACAAGAAAGTTTAATTCAAGTAAGTGACATTCATCAGCATAATACGAGACAGGCAGTTGAAGGTTTCCTTTCTGTGCCAAAATATAAAACAGAATGCTTTAAACATAGCCCCCTCGTTTCTTCAATTATAGCATGGAATCAGTTGGACAGATCATTGAGAATGACAAGCTCTGTGAACACCTTTAAATACATCTTCAAACAATCTTACATTATCTGTTCCCAATGAAGTAAAATGACAAGAGAATTTTTGTTAAAGTGTATGTTTTCTTAGCACTGAATGTAGGACGATATAATGCTTTTCAAACTTAAAGAATGATTTCATATGTATTATCAGCTATAAATACATTTTTATTTTTAATATTATCAAAGAGTGTACATTCAATTGCTATACTAGATTACATGCATTAATTTTTCATATTATCCAGTAATCTACTATCCTGTAATATATTTTAATATAAATAAATATGTATATAAAAATTGAACTCTCAAAGTATATATTGCCTTTTTTCAAGGTCTAAGTTTTATCATAACTATACCACAATTATAATTATTAAATGACACATATTTTGTAGTGCTTAGATCCTTCTCTTTCATTTGATGCAACTCAAAGAGATGCTTTTTCACGCATGAGTGATTAAAAACAATTTGAAGAAAGAGTACAAAAAAATCAATCACTCTCGAAATCCACCCGAAATCTTGTCTTTTTCAGGATTTTAATGAGAGGAGGGAAAATTTTGCAAAACGTACGTCGAAAGAGACCGTCTTTCAAGCAGTATATGAATGGATTCACTGCAGAACTCAAATTGGCAATAAAGAAGCTAAGTTCAAAGAGAATGATCTGCCCGACATGACTGATGTCGACGAAGACCCTGAGATAGAACCAGATGCTCGTAGGGAACCAGCCGATGCAGAACATACCCACAACAAGGACGGTGGTCTTTGCGGCTTTGAACTGTTGCCGACCTTTGGCTTGCCATGCTGGCCGGGGATGCTGAGGTTTTAAATCATTGTTGACTAAATTCGGTTGAATCCGACGCAAGTGGTTAACGGCAATACAGAGAATCCAAATATTCAACGAGATCAAAATGACGCCCCCAATCATTATGGAGCCAGCACTTCCCAGAAGAAAGCTTCGCGCAGACACGGTTTTATAGCTGACCCCAGTGCAGAACTGCGTCAAGGAATCGTCTTTATTGTTCCCCGACTCGATCAACGAAAAGATCCCGTAGCTGATCCCTCCGACCCAGGCAACCGCGATCGCGATACACACCCTTTGCGTCGTCACGAAGGTAACGTAGCGGAGCGGTCTCTTCAGCGCAAGCAGACGGTCTGCAGTAATAAGAACAATATGTGCCATCGAAACAACGAATAAGACGTACACCCAGACTGTAAAGTATCCCGATTTAGCGACAGAGCAAGTGATCTCGTCTTGTACCACCCGGCTGTAGAGCTCGAGCGGTGTTGCTATGAGACCAATGCAGAGATCGGAGACGGCTAGACTGGTAAAAATGATGTAACTTTGTGTTCGGAGCCTGGGCTCCTTGTAGGCAGCCGCGATGACCGTGGTATTGCCGAAAACGATTATGATTATGACAGGGATAAAGAAGATCATTACGAGAGCTTGGTGAAGAGGCGGGTTGTTAAATGCATACTCGGTAGATTCAGGGGAACTCGTAGAAGCCATTTTGTTAATCATTTCTGATTAATGTTGAAGTCTTTGGTAACCAAAAAGCGTGGGTTGCGTATGCCTACAACGATCACTCTATGTTTTCCACCACTTTGATATAATCATTTTGCAATATGGACACCTAAAAGATGATGTTGCAATTCAATATTCTGTACCGATCGAAGTTCCAGCAGAAGGATTATCGATGTTCTTCAATAAGAAGAATAGGGTATAAAACAATTTCATAGTGAATCCGCATAACATAAATAAAGCTATATATCACCATCTGCTGTAAAGAAGAATAAAAACGTTTCTTTTCATTGCACTCGATATCCATCCATAGTTTAATTGATCTGTTTACAATTCACTTCCATTTACTGCATGTTTCTTAGGAACAGCTATCACAATGAGCAGACAAGGAACCGCTTCAAATACATGGTCTTGTGACATCTCCAGTAGATATGAAATGACTCGGTTCATTTTCGTAACGGAAACAAGAGTCGACGAATCACCTTTTTATAAGTCGTTAGAAGGGAAACATCGCCCCATCGACCTCCCACGTAGATACACTAGAGAGACATGAAAGACAATTGTTGCAAACATTAATCACAATAGAAGCAGACCACAGCACTGTTTGCGAAGGTGGTATCGAAATCCGCAATCAGTGGAAGCTAAACATCTAATAGACCGATCCACTCAATCCATGGCCCCTCCTGAATTAATCGGAAGCAATTACTTCCATTAAATTCATCGTAAGCTGTGTGTTTTAATAGAGAGAGTGTTTTGTCGTGGTGCATGATAATGAATTCGATGTTTCGCATTAGCCCACTCGATGTAATGATGCAAACAGATAAAAGATCATGAACCAGCACTCGCTCCAGCAATTATTATTGTTCCATGCAGGTTTCATTTCGTCAACCTGAGATATAGGGGTAGGGCTAGGATGGCGTTCAGGTTCAAAGTTAGGTTTAGGCAGAGTGTTGGATCCAAAGTTGAAGTTAGGAATTTAGTTAGGTTTGGGAATCGACCGCTGAACAACTATTGTTGCAGGAGCATTAATTTGTTGGTTAAAACCTCGCAGTTCATACAACCTAGTAAGATCCACCCCCTGGGGCGGATCTAGCTTTTTGCTAAGGGGGGGGGGTGACTCAATGACGATATGGAGTCCATGAGCCGCGAAGCGGCGATTTTTTTTAACTTTTTTTTTTGGACCCAATATGGCATTTTTTTATGCACATCATATTTTTACTTGGCAGCCAAAGGGGGGGGGGGGTTAAACCCCCTAACCACCGTAGATCCGCCCCTGTCCCTATAATTCTGATAATAGTGCCTACGCTATGGCTGAACCTATACGCTCCATTACTAGTCAGTTTAAACATAATCGGGGACGTCTAGCTATCTTCAGGTTGAAGGACGCATTAATGATCGGCCTTATACGCTCCAGTTATTCTGCAATAATTCATTATTGAGGAGGAAAAGCCGCGCCAACTCTCTCTTTCTCTCTCTCCCAGCCCCTTCAAACAATCATGCTGTCTGTAGACTGTAATATGATTGAGCAAGATTTGTTCAATTATTGTAGCCGATATATATTTCACATAGACCGTCTTCAGCCAGTTGCAAATCAAGGAAACCTTGACCGAAGGGGTGTAGGGATGGAGAAATGGGGGTGAGGGAGAAAGTGTTATCTCTCTTTTATGTGCTGTTCTGTATCCCAAGTTGCAAAATAATAATAATTTGTTAGGGGGACTTTTTTCTTTTGCATTTAATTTTGCTCTCTCGGCATGAAAAACTACGCTTTGTCGAGGGAATGCGTTTCCATAGTGATAGTGTACCACGTCTTTGAAGCAAACATAAACTACAAATACTCCTGATTTATGTGACAGTGAATATACCAGTTATTGAGATTTTGTATCAACTCTGGCAATCTCTGGCAATATGACTATGTGTCAATAAAAATCTCTATTAATGTGAATTTGTGTCAAAATCTCTTTTAATGAGAATTCTGGTGCAAATCCCAAGTAAACGATTGAGAAAGCAGGCGCATGATAACGAGTGCATGGTGTCTGCTATACCGATAATCTTAATGCAGGTTTTCATCACTTCAATCAATCCTCAAATCATCATCCGATCGTGGTGACGTTCATTTTTTCTTTGATCGCGTGTCCCATCATCACCAAACATGACCACGGATATCGATATCAACACCACGACGTCATTGACGTCGGTCGATGTCGGCGACGAATCGATCACACTGTGCTCTTCTGTATTGTATGATATCAAACACGCAACGTTGGGGGTTGCTATTTTGATCATGAGTACGACGCTCATCGCTATCCCTGGTCATCGGCGACTTCGTAAGCAACATCACATCTTCCCCTACAACCTCGCGCTCTCTGACTTATGTGGTGCGATCGTTCTGGCAATTTTCGAAGGGACCAACGAACCTCCTCAAGAGGTAAGCCTAATTAACCGTTGTTTAAAAAGAATAATCACTGCTTTTAAATACAGTTTAGTAAACAAAACAATATATATATATATATATATATATATATATATATATATATAAATAGAAATTCAGATTTGCATAAACACTGAGGTAATGTAAAATGATTGAAATATACATGATATAAACTGTACAAACCCTCTGCAATATCCCATGATCCAAGTGACATTGCAAGTAGCTTTATCATTTGCGTCTAATCCTATTTTGTTATTTCTGATTTGTCTATTTTTTATGAGGGTAACCCAGAGAGGATTTTTTTTTCGTTATATACTAAGGTAAGGTAAGGTATTTATTCATCAACATATCGCAGCCAGTGGCTGAATTGCATGCATGATTTACATATATTTGGTTTAAATATATATAAAAACATCATATTTACAATTCATTTTGTTTAACGAAAAAACTCAGTAAAACTCAGTAAAACTCAGAAAGGGAATAAATAAATAAAGGAAACACGTGGAGCAGGAAAATAAGGAGAAAGGAAAGGAAAGTTGAAGGAGAGGGAGTGGAGAGAGAGAGGGAGAGAGAGAGAGAGTGTGCGAGAGAGAGAGAGAGAGAGAGAGAGGGCGAGCGAGAGAGAGAGAGAGAGAGGATGAAAGAGAAACAAAGTGAGAAGAACACGAACACAGACCTTGTATAATATATTACAAATTAAAAATGTAATTGAAACAAGTTATTTCATCCAAGTTAGTGGGAATTTACAAAAAAAGTAATTTTGAAGCAAAAGAAAAATACATTTACAGGCAACATTCATCTTCAATTCACTATTTTGTGTGTTCTTAAACTCTAAGTTCAGGTTTTCACCATTAACGTTAAATAGTTTGATAATTTGTAGCATTGCGCTATTTTTGTAACGTTGTGTCCTACACTTCAGTTCTCGTAACCTGTTACTGTGTCTTAATTGTCTGTTTGATGATTGGCTTTCCGGTAGCCAATGACGAAAGATCTTGAAAAGCTTAGTGGCAAAGTCCCGACAAAGATCTTCTCTCCTTTTAGTCCAGTAGACGGTACCATATACCATGTAAATTACCTGAAAAAGTTGATAAGTACAAGTTTTTTGTTGTTGATTTGTGTTCTAGATGGGTATTGAATAAAATTCAGCTTGGTTGCCAGCTTGGCAACCTTGGGCAACTTTTTTTAATAGCCATATTAGCATAATCATCTCATTAGCATATGTACAATATGTAATAATGTTGCTAATCTCAATCCAGGAAGCCTGAAAACATGGATAATACGTTTTTTAAGGGTTTTCTATGAAAAGGAATTCATTTATGACACCAATTTTTATCTTTAAGTAATACAATTGTCTTAAATAGCATGATGAGCTATTTAGCATATGTTTGATATATGGACTTTATTATCATTGTTTATCTATAAAGCCTAAAAATGGTGTAATGCAACATTGTTAATGACCTTTTAAAAGACTAATCATTAATTCATGAGAAGATATTCCATGTAGTATAATTAGCCTGATTAGCATAATCTTTGTAATAATGTTGTTAATCTTAATCCAGGAAGCCTGAACACATGGATAATAGGACTTTTTAAGGATTTTCCATTACGAGGAATTCGTTTATGACACTAGTATTTATTTTTGAGTAATGCAAGTGTCTTAAATAACATGATGAGCTATTTAGCAGATGTTTGATATATGGACTTTATTGTAATTGTTTATCTATAAAGCCTAAAAATAGTGTAATGCAACAGTAATTCATGAGAAGATATTCCATGTAGATGTCGTATAATTAGCCTAATTAAGCATATACACTGTATGTGCAATATGTAATAATGTTGCTAATCTTAATCCAGGAAGACTGAAAACATGGAAAATATGACTTTTCCAGGGATTTTCATGACGCGGGATTCAGTTGTGACACCAGTTTTTATCTTTAAGTACTGCAATTTGCTTAATATGTAATTATTGTACTAATAAGCCTAATTGGCATTTATGTAGAATATCAATTATTTGGGACTCTATTTAGCTTCACAAATTGTATGTCCAATGTGGTGGTTATCTTGGTTGCAAGACAATGTTGTCGAACTAAATGAAATGTCTAGGAAATGACGGGGTCATCATACGCATTAAAAGTTGGGCTTCAGTCATTGGATTAAGAGAGACTGCTGGAAACACACTGAAGATGGTTAAAGCAGATGATAGTGATGGAATTGATGATGTGGTGAGACAGGTACGTACGTAGGCCAGGGTTGTTGAATACAACAGTGCGAACTATGATCTGTCTATGTTTACCAAAGCCAGAACCATTGAGAGTACAAGCCCAACGTTGCTCAAGCTTGTGCCAGATTTCTTGGAAAACTCATATTATCCATGTTTTCAGGCTTTCTGGATAATTTTGAATTTATTATGAACAATCCCCATTCAATAATGCATTTTGCTTGCCTAATTATAGAAAGGAGGTACATAAAACAACTTGAATGATTCTTATCAGTTGATTCCATTTGTATATGAAGTGGAATGCAAATACCCCTTGAGCAGTTGCGCTAAAATTACTCTATG